TATCAAATCTCTACCAAAGATCTTTGAAGATGGTGCACAATATTGGAATGCAAATGCTTAAAGATGTGAATTGATGCTCTCACCGGGAGGAGTTAATACGCGTTGTACTCTTTTTTCCTTACAAGGTTTTGTCCCACTGTGTTTTCCTTGCAAGGTTTTTAATGAGGCAACCAAAAGGCGTATTGTTAGATATGTGTACTCTTTTTCCTTTACTAGAATCTTTTTCCCACTGGGTTTTATTTTAGTTAAGGTTTTAGCGAGACACATTATCTATTGAATAGACATTCAAGGGGGAGTATTATAAATAGAATTTTATTTATGGTGAATGTCTATATTTAGAGAGATTCTAGGGATTATTACTCGGTGGCTAAGTCACTATTTTCCTATAAATAGAGGGTTCTATTCCATTGTAAATGATCCCAAATCAATAAGAATTATCTCTCTACTTTTCTCGGCAATGCTCTTCCTCTTCTTTTATTATTTTATAACATTTCTTTTTTTGTCAGAGTCTAGATTGAATCTAACTAGTGCGCAAAATGAAACGATCACTTAAATATTGAATATCTATTTCTAATTTTTACAGGGATGGAACTTTATCTATGTTTCAATTTCATTAGCATGATTGATAAATTATGAATATTTTCAAACAATTCAAACGATGAAGAGTTTGAAAAAAAGTGACAAAATTTTATCTTGTTTCCAATTTTAAAAATGTGATAATTTTAATAGGAACATATCAAAAAAGAAAGTGTGGCGCATAAAATAAAATAAGAATATTATTCGGTATAATTAATCTATATAGATAAGAAAATAATTTTTTTAGGATAAATTACTCTCTTTATCAGTTGGGATTATATTCCAACAAAATTGGGCCCGTATTTTTAAAACTTACCCGGTATAGCGCCGTTTTTACATAATTTGAAAGAAATTTTTCACTATTAAACTAATCTAATAATATTTCTGTTCTCTCTCTTTTCCTACACGCCTGAAAAGCTTTCTTTCCACATACCTCTTCATCCTTTACACGTCATCATCTTTCATCTTCATCTTCTATCCTCTCTAATTTTTAGATGTATCTCCCATCTTCTATCCTTTATATTTTTTAAATCTATCTTCCATCCCTATTTTTTCTCCTCTCTAATTTTCAAATCTAACTTCCCCTAATTTTTTAAAAAATTCTCTCAAACTTTCTGTCACGACCCAAAACCAATCTGTCGTGATGACGCCTATGAAAGATACTAAACAATTTAAATAAAGGAAAACCTCTTAAAAACATAATAGGAAATCATAACTCAACACATAAATTCTTCCCAAAATTAGGGTGTCACCGAGTACATGAACATCTACATAAAAACATAGGCTGGTACAGTGTCTGGAAAGTAAAACTGAAAAATAAACTGAAAGATAAGGGAGGAGAGTTAAGGTCTGTGGATGCCAAACAACTACCTCGATGATCTCCGAAGGTCCGGACTCTGCAAATCAACAACCACCGTGACCGGAAGCACCTGGATCTGCACACGAGGGGCATGGTTAGTGTGAGTACAACCAACTCAATAAGTAACAAATCTAACCTCTAGACTGAAAGTAGTGACAAATCCAATTATTACGGTCCACTTTCAACATTTAACAGTACAGAAAGTTACAGAAATTATGACAGGGTTATCTCAGAAATACATAGTCTACAAGGGAAGGTACAAGAATTTAGACATACGTTCAACAAGAATTTAGATGCTTTTATATTTTGCAACAAAACTTAACACATAACAGGGCAGATCCAGCCCGAATACAAATAAATTAGGGCAGATTCAGCCCATATGCAAATAAACCAGGGCAGATCCAACCCAAATATAAATAACTGCTAGTATTGCACCCACTGTTGATGTGCAGACTCCGGAGGGGCCGATCCAGCCCAAGCGTTATAATAAGCCAAATCTTGACATGAATCAATAAAGTTTGATGCAGCGTGCAACCCGATCCCATAAATATCTCTCACAACAAGCCCTCAGCCTCAGTCAATATTCTCTCCAGTCTCTCAGGCTCACCAAAATCATGATGTTCAGCCCCAAACAATGATGATATAATGTAACAAGTAAAGACAACAGAGACTGAGATATATTATGCAAGTAATAATTGTGACTGAGTTCAAATTTACAGATCAAGCAATTAATTCAATAGCAAAGAACGATCATTGTGGGTCCCAATAGTACCAACACATAGCCTAGGCAGGGTTTCTAACATGAATGACAGCTCAATAGCTCTAACACATGGTGAAAATACGGGTAATAGTAAGATTTATCAACTATTCGATTTCATGGAATCGACCAAGTCACAATTCTTATGGTACACGCCTACATGCCCGTCACCTAGTACATACGTCACCTCAACACCAATCATATAACACGAAACTCGTGATTTCATACCCTCAGAACCAAGTTTAGAAGTGTTACTTACCTCAAGTTGTGCAAATACCTACTCTGACAAGCCCTTGCCTCACGAAACGGCCTCCGAATGCCTCGAATCTAGCCACAAACAGTTCGATATAATCACCACAAGCTAAACATACAATAGTTAATCTTGTTCCAATATAAAATCATTTTTGACAAGGATTTTGAAAAAGGCCATATTTGTCCCTCTACTATCCAAAATAAGCTACATCTACCCTCCATTTTAGTTTCTTAGTATAACTACCCCTACCGTCATACTTTTGGATCATATTTGCCCCACCCATTAAATGGCTTGGTCCCATCTTTAAAAAAAACAGGTGGCTGGCTCTGATTGGATAAAAAAACCCGCCCCATTTCTAATTAAAACCCACTCGACTTGTACTAATAACCCACCCATTCCAAGAGAAGAAAAAAGAAAATCGAACCTATAATCTCTCTCTCATGCTTTTGAATATTTCTTTTGAGCCCAATCATAAGCAATAACAACTATATAGTGACAGTAAGTAGGTGACCCAGAATTTTCATCAAGCGGGTTCAAATGCAAACAAATAAATATACAAAGACACAACAAATTATTTTTTTATATTAAAAAGGTGTAATTTTCTTTCCCTAAATTGTGTATATAAAGATTTCCTAGTCTAAAAAAGAGAAATAGAAACTTTCCTATGTCGTATGTATATAGGAAAAAGAGAGAGAGCTGCATATAGGGACAAAAGAGCGCCCATAAATGCAACTAACTGGTTTTGAACTTAAGTATTTTTAGAAAATTTGAACCCACTTTGCCAATGGGCTGGACAATGTCTTTGTGCTAAGCGGGTTCAACAAAATTATATAAGAGCATTTACTAGAAGAAAGATAAAATTTACCTTATATACACTGTTATTTTACGACGAAGCGGGTTCAGATGAACCCTCTTGACCTCACGTGGGTCCGCCCCTGGTGACAGTAATGTAGATTGTAACTCAAATGTGTTATCCTATAAGATGAGCAAAGTTGATGGTGGCTGCAACGTTTGTGGCACCTGGTTCAACTTTCCATTTTCTATTTCTTTCTTTGAAGTTTCATTTTCTTGAGATGACTGTAGTCTACAACCATGTTTTGGATATTTTCCACCATTGTAATTGAAATAATAATTATATTGGGAGATGACTGTAGTCTGCCCGGGCTTTCCGCACCTACGACAACTTAACCGCATCTTCAGTGTCGCAGAAGCGACGATCCTTTCGCTTTTACGACGAACCACTAGAACAAAGACCTCGCACCTGCGAAAAATGCTCCGCTTCTGTGCAACCGCAGGTGCGACCACCTTCCCGCACTTGTGTTGACCCTACGCTTCTACACTCAACCTCTCTGCATTTGCGACCACGCAGGTGCGGATAATCCTTCGCACTTGCGACCACAACCTTCCTCACTCCTGGCTGCATTTTCGCATCACAGCTCGCACCTGCGATCAAAGTTCCGCATGTGCGATTGCACAAGAAACTCCCAGCTTCAGCAATCTTTCAAACTCCAAATTCGATCCGTTAACCATCTGAACTCTAGCCGAGGCCCCCGGAACCTCAACCAATTATACCAACAAGTCCTAAAATACAATACGAACTTAGTCGAGCCTTCACATCACATCAAACAACGCTAAAATCACGAATCGCGCGTCGATTCAAACCTAATGAACTTTTAAACTTCTAACTTCTACATCTGATGCCGAAACCTATCAAATCACGTCCGATTGACCCCAAATTTTGCATACAAGTCACAAATGACGCAACGGACCTACTCAAACTCCCAGAACCCCAATCCAAGATCAGTAACCACAAAGTCCACTCTCAGTCAAACTTTCAAATTTCCAACTTTCGCCATTTCAAGCCTAATTTAATTACGGATCTCCAAATCACTATTCGGACACGCTCCTAAGTTCAAAATACCCAACGGAGCTAACTGAACCATCAAAACTCCTCCGGAGTCGTTTACATACAAGTCAATATCCGATCAACCTTTTCAACTTAAGCTTCCAACCTTGAGACTAAGTGTCTCAACTCACTTCGAAACCTCTCTGGACCCAAACCAACTACCCAAACAAATCACATATATAATAACTGTAAAGCATAAAATAAGCAGTAAATGGGGTAACGAAGCTACAAATCTCAAAAATGACCGGTCGGGTCGTTACACTTCCATAATACAAAAAGATGAAATTTTAGAGTAATATAAAATTAGTTGTTCATTTGAAAGGATTTGAGCCACAAAACAGTTAACCCATTAATGATTTAAGTAATATTCCCTACAACAAATTTGGTCTAAGGCCACAATAATTTTAGACAACGCTTAAAAAGTATTGCCAAAAATATCTAAGGGGACGCTTTTCAAGGGTGGCCTTTGAGGAGAACCTTTGGCAACGAAGTTTAGGCAACGCTTTAAAAGTGTGCTTTTACAATAAAAAGGCTACGTATAGTGTTACCAAATCATAAAATAATTAGCAACACTTATCCACGTGTAATACAACACTTACAAACCGTTGCCATTTTTTAATCCTAAAGCAACACTTATGAAGCGCGCTCTAAAGTTTTCCAATAAAATTTTGCTAGAAATTTCCACCATTAAATTTTCCCCCCCATTACTACTCACCCAACTTTGAAAGGGCAAGGAGTGTACCCCCTAAATTAATTTTGAATAGCCATCCCCTATTCCTCTTCCTCCGTTGAATCTCGATCCATCGACTCCTGCTGATGTTACTGCTCCTCCCACCACCATCTTTTTGCTGAAAATGATCAACTCACTAGCTCAATTATTTGCTCTATTGGTTGCTACGAACAGGTCAAAGGTATATTTCAAACCCTAACCATAAGTCTCCCATTGATTTTTTGGTAAGAATGAGCATTAATGCAGTATTTTTTATGGCTTGAGAGTCTTATATGTTAGTCCAATAGGTATATGGCTTTTTTTAAGCGTTAAACACAAATCTAATCTGTTTTATTTCTAAACTAAACCAACACGGGCAGTGACACCAGAATTTCTACATTTATGGAATTGATATGCTTGCTATTTAAGAATCTTGATATTGCTCGAACACACCAGAACAATTCTTTTGGCTAAATTTTAAAATATCTTTGTTTTCAAAAGCCCTAAATATTGAGTCTTTAGGATTCGAACAATCTCAAAGATGTATTGAAATACTTCTACGATGCTTTTGGAGATCTGAACTTCTAAGCTTTCCCTAATAAATAGTACGAGCTATGTTAGTGATTTAATTGGTCTAATATTGATTCTTGCTCTTAGTGTATAAGTTGGATGTTAGATTTTGGCTACTGATTTGAAGGTTCTTTAATCTTAATATTGGAAAGGTGCACTTTGATTTGTTAGATTTGGAAGTATTTGACGAATTGAAGAAGCTAGAGATTTGGGAGATGAAGCATGATTGGTGCTAATTTCAGTTGTATAAGCTCGATATTTTGCCCAGACTATAAATCTCTATTGTCTGTCCATATTCTGAAACGTTACCGAACTTCCAAATTTATTTTCATAACATAGGAATAAGATTATAGGATGATGGAGCACAGGAGAGCTACAGAATTCAGTTTTGTGTAATGTTTCTTTTGCCTTTTTATTGTGAAGAATGATCCTATTACATATCCTGTTTGGTGAGGAGAAAGAAAAGAAAAGAAAAAAGAGAAGGAAAAGTTGAAATTAGTTGGAAGATATAATACTCAGGTCCATTTTGGTTGATAAATCCTTCAGTTTAAAAGTCACAAGCTTGTCTTTGAATAATAATTTTATTTACAGAGAGAGTTGATTTTAGGATGATTTAGCTTTTTTAACTTCTCTGTTAGTTGTGAGTTTGACTGTTTATCCACGTTTTGATGATCAAGTATATTGTTCATTGATGTTCTGTCCAAGCTATTTTCTCTTTGTGTCTAGTTGTGTAATGTACCGGCAACCATTGTTGATATTGCTATATAAGGATATTCCACGCAACAGCCTGAAATTGTGCAATATAAGAATGCTGTCATTATTATTTGAAAGTAATGATTTCATCCATGACTCTAACTCTTATGTTGAACTTGAAATTATTGTAGGCAGGAGTTGATGATTGAGTGTAATCCACCAGCAGATTCAAACTTTCATCGTCGTTTGTGGTAAAGTAATATTTATCAATTGTTTGGGCATGAATCTCAATTAATGTCAATTCATATGTGAAATGTGCAGATTGTTGCTGTTGATTTTGTTTTTACTATGTACTAACTATTTAAGATCTTTCCTCCCTGAGTTCAACTAAACAGATAAATTTGTCTTGGTTTCGTTGACTTACTATTTTAATTTCTAATTGCTATTATTGAAAGTACACAAATATCAGTATCTACTTGCTGCATAATTAAGTTTGGATATCTTGAAAGGATTGTTTCCCGCTATTTTCAGCCAGGACCATCATCGCCTAGCTACTACCCGCAACTATCAACTTGAACTAAAATCACCATCATCAATCAAAACCACCGCCAACTAAATATTTTATTAATATAATATTATATAAAATAACGATAATTTTATATGTTCAAATATTAAAAAAAATCAATGGTCTTAATTTTTACCATTCAGATCATAATATACATTTTAATATTTAGATGTGTATTTATATTCAAACGTCTTAATCTTAATAAAAATAAATAAAACTTTAATCTCTCTACTTAATTTCCACTCAGATAAAGAAGTTGTCCTTATTTCACTGTGTAAAAGAAAATATGAACAAAATTTCAATTCATATATGAGTATTCAACTTATCACAATTTAAACTGAAGAAATATATTTGTATTCGGGTTTTGCTAAACTTATCATATAGTTGTATGATAAAATGAGATGAAAAAGTATACATTAGTAAATAATGGTTAAGTCTAAGGTTAATGTGCAAACGAATTTAATTGATTTATTAATTAGACTGATACAAATGCTAAGTACAAAAAAGTTATTGTCATCCAAATTGTAATGTGTCAAATCTCAATGACTCTGGCTATCTTTGCTAACTCTCGTTTAATAATGTGGTAAAAATAGTTTCTAAATAGATTTAAGTGATATACATTGTTAGTTTAAAGAATACTTTTTTCGCTATTCGAATAGTTTAGCCTACTATAAAAGATTAATTATTATTTTTATCCTATTATTAATTAATATTTAAGTAGAGATTTATTTTTAATTATTTTATAAGTGATTTAATTATATAAATAATTTTTTTTATGCTGTATATAAGCTTAAGTCCTTTCTAAAAGCATCACTATGTATATGGGGCCATAATTTAAAGTAAAGAAGCCATAATTTACAAACTATTCAGAAAATGAAAATTATTTTCTGCCAGTGGCGCCAGACTAGTCTTTCCCAGTAAACATGCAATGTTGAACTCCTCTGTCATGCGAAAAGCTTCTCTTCAATTGCCCCTTTACAAAACAACAAATAAACCGCAATTTCACAATTACTTACAAGATATTTCCAGATCCACAAATGAAGGAATCAGCTGCAGGTCAACAGAGAAGTAACAACAGCAATGGAAGAAGAAGCGCTGTCGAAAAGGAGAAGACGAAGATGAGAGAGCGTCAGAGAAGAGCTATTACGACTAAGATCTTCAACGGCCTCCGTAAACACGGCGGTTACCGCCTCTCCCCTCGTTCCGACATCAACCAAGTCCTCCGCCACCTGGCCTCTGAAGCTGGTTGGATTGTTGACCCTGATGGCACCACCTACCGCTCTTCCTCCTCCTCCACTGTCTGTGCAGTTTGCTTGCTTTTCCATTTTATTCCCATTTCACTTTTATCTAATTTTGGATTTAACTTATCCATAATTAAAGTTGATCTCATTTTTTACATCAGAATAACAATTCGTGTCCACATTGTGGTGTTGGAGGGAAATCCAATGCAGCTACGCCAACTAGCAGCACCGTAGGACACACAAGCGGCGGCGGAGGAGAATGTTCAACTACCGCGTCTCCGCTTCGCGCCACCGCAAACTGCGGAGATACGAAGACAACTTATAGTAGGACGCCGGCAACTAATCTCTTCGACTCTGGCTTTTCACTTTCCGGTGCCGTCTCTACTAGTGCTCTGCTGTCTTCTACCTCTTCTGATACTCTTTTCTCCATCTACATGTCCGGCGCATGTGGCGGTGCAGGTGTTGGAGGAATAAGCGGGGTCTACCACCCTTCCTCCGCCGCCTCAGCCACCGTGCGCCACCAAGAACAGCCGTCGTACTTGTTGCAGGAAGTCAGAGCTTCGAATCAGAATACTCCGGTGGGGTCACCTCTGTAAAGCACTTGACTGAGGCTTTGGCAATACGGCGTCGTACGCTTCACTGCTATTCATAAAGACTTGTCATAACTACTATCCATTTTACCTATTTTATCTTTAATTAGAAGTTTTATAATCAATTTAATATTGTAGCCACACAAAACTTTACCTTTTAAAACTATAAATTTCAATTTTTTTTTAAATTTCGTACCGATTCAAATTACCGCATCTAAATTAAGACGAGGAACTACTATATAACTTTGAAGTGGTTACCATTTTGTTGCTTAGCTTGTTAATTTTCTCATTTGTTTTACATAGGGGCGATGCAGTGTTAAGGTTATGGATTAAAAAATTTACTAAATATATGCACATGATAGATATTTAACACAATAAATCATATGGGTAACTACAGAATTTAGAATTCTGAATAGTAAAGTTGAAATCTTAGATCTGGTTTTACAAATGGAAAAAGAGGAATTTACAATGCTATAGTCAGAAAATATCAATAAATAGCTAAAAATGTCTACCAACAACTTATATGTTATTCCACGTTTCAAATTGAAATTCTATTTCATTTTATCACAATCAGTTTTATTAGATTTTATTACTGCTTATTAGATTGATCCTAGATAGTATTCTTTTTGAAATATAAATAATTATCTCATTTAAAAATGCAATTATATTTGTTAATTTTGTTGTTTAGATCACTCTGCTTGATTATGGAGAAATAGAATAGGATGCAAGAGTTTTCAGGAAGTAATAGTCTCTTCTGAAACAAGAAGATCCAAGCGACTTGAATGGCCCACTTAATTAGACGTACGGGTAAATAGTGAGACTTAAAAAATGTCAATTTTGCAAAGTCAGCTTTATTTGTTGAGGTTTTCCACAAGGCTATTATCATGTTCATGTTCATGCTCTTTTTCATTTAACGGAGACTTGTGCTCATGTATCACTTGTCTTGAATTAAGAGAGTGATATGCAAAGGTCAAAGTTATCAGTTAGGTCCCAAATGTCCCATGCTCTTGGGAACTCGATTGAACCTTTTTTAGAGAAGGATGTAAATACATTACTCCCTCCCTCCCTTTTTTATTGTCAAAGTTACTAATAATACTTGACACAAAAGGCTTATCAGTTTAAAAAAATAAGATAAAATTAAATTATTTTTAAACGCGAATTTTCTAGATTTAGGTTGAACGAACCTAAGCTACATTCGCATTCCTCTTCCTGTTCTCTCTTTCTGTTTTTCGTGGGCACTAAGCAATCATCAACAACTCTGGGCAGGCTGCAGCACCATTTCCTCTCCGCACGGCCACTTTCTTCCCTCTTCATTGTGACCGTGGGAGATTTTTGATCTTAGAAATGGTAACCAGTGAGGCAAATCATAATTAAACAAGACAAAGAAGGGTATACGTGGGGCGGAACGAGGCAGGTTAAAGAGAAATTATTTGGGAATCTAAAGTGGTGATCCATTTTAAATGAACAATTACAGAATAATGATATTTTAAACTCGTCAAAATTAGCTAAAAGAAACTTAAACATCACAAGAAAGGTCTACGTACGATGAGCTCAAAATAGAAAAATATTACTACATGTTAAGTGAGAATGCATTAAAAACTTTTGTGGGGTAAAAGTTTCACCCGCTCTACCCCACTCCGTTTGCCAAAAATTGCGAACGTGGAAATTATAACTAAGAATTCTTCTTGCAGGAAAACTTAAAAAATCTCGAATTTAAAAATATATACACACAGAACTTAATACATCCTACAGAAAATTCGCATGAATTTGGCGAAATTCAATGCTAAAACCATTACCTACAAATTTACTTGGCAAAAATTATCCGCAGGTAATAGTTCAAAATATAAATATAAAAAAAAAAACTGAAAAACACTTTAGAGTTCTCATAGGAAATTCTCTAAGTAAGTCTTCACAGTTCCCCTTAAATCTATTTGTCAAATATTTGACGGAGGTTAAAACTGCTTTTAAAAGACTATTTTAAACTAAACCCAAACATAAGAGACCATTTTTGTTATTTTCACGCATTTAGTTTTATGACACGGGTACACAGGTATTAATTCCGAGACACCTTGTTTCCCCACCCTGGTTCCAAAAAAACCCAATAATGAAAAACAAAAGAAGAAAGGAAGTTCCTGCAGAATGGATGGTGAGAGCCCCTCTGCAATCTGACAAAAGAAAGAAAGTAAAAATAGCCGGGGCTAGCCAGTTTTCGGATTGGTCATTCAAAAATAGCTAGCGTTTGCAAAGTCATTGAAAAATAGTCATTATTTTGCTGCAACACGGAAAGTTCCAGCATAATATAATGGAGATCGGTGCACCTGTGCATGAACTTCCAGCATATTATGCTGGAACTCCAATGTTACATCTCGTACTTGTCTACGTTGGATTTGTCATAAGATAATTGACATAAGTTCAATGACAAGACTATTTTTGAGGTTATAAGTGCTTATGATATATAACAAGTGATAAATAAAGTCGTGAAGGTAAGAGGGGAAACGAGTTGAAGAAAATGAGGTTGGTCGAAGTTTGACATTTGGAGATAAAATACGATTCAAGCTATAACACCCCGTATTTATGGACTAGTGATATACCACATGATCATGGTAGTAAAGTATATGACGTATACTAGTATTTAAGTGAAATGAAACTTAGAAATTATTATGTGGATAATTGGGTAATGAATGATTTTTGGTGGGAGATTAGCTCATTAATTATAAGCTTTGGATAAGTTTAAATAGGTCCCAACGTCGCAGCCAAGGAAAGCCCTATAAATGACTCTTAAGTCATAGAGCAAGATGGCACATTTAGGGAGTTTTGGTAAGCTAATTATTGGGATGGATAAGCATTAACATGGCAGCAAGTAAGGAATTCAATATTGACGAAACAAGTCTTGGAGCTAGATCGCAAGATTAGAGAAATCTTTGGCCAAGTCATCATACCAAGTATGGGTCTTGATCAAGACAAATGGTGACTCTTTGGTTTATGAGATTAGGTGGCATTTTAGGAAAATTTGTGGGCTGTCACATGGCATGAAATTGGCCAAGTGTGGCACCAATATGTACATGAGTCGTAGCACTTGGTGTGCCTTGTTTACACATGACAATGCAAGCTTTAAGCTTTCATGTTATTCTTTGGCAATTTAAGAGATGCAAAGGAGACTGCAATCTTTCTTTCTATTATTAGGGAGTCTCTTACTTTAGAAACATAGCAAAAACATACATCCATGATACTCCATATGTCCAGCAACATGAAATATGCTATGATCATAAGAAGTGCTTAGTTCTTGTTCAAAGATTTAAAGGAGCAAAAATTGTTCTTGGCAAGCTCAAGTAAAAGTGTTTGATAAATTCCTCAAGTAAGGTATGTTAAGGCTAATCCTTCCTTTTTTGGCATGATCCAAGTAACGATACGTAAACGTAATGCTATTCCATAAGTGGTTCTACTCTTAGAAGCTAAGGATGTCTATGTTATTCATTCATGTAAAGTGATATTCAAACATGCCTAAGTATGTTCCTAAGTCTCTATTGAGGTATTTGATAAAGATGTTAATGTTTATAATATAGTGATACATGCATCTTCATGCATTTACCACCGTGATATGGGCGGTTGGGCAGAAATGCATCTTCATTTACTACCGTGCTACGGCCGGTTGGACAGACATGCATCTTCATTAACCACCGTGCTACGACCGATCGCGTAGTCATGCATTTACCACCGGGCTACGGCCTGCTGGGCAGGTATGTATCATTACTTACCATCGATTGGGTAGTTATGCATTTACCATCAAGCTACCGCCGGTCGGGCAGTTACCACTGATCAGTTGGGCAGTCATCCATCGTACGATAAGGATAATAGTCTTAAAGAGAAGCATTATATATATATATATATAAGTATACTAAGTATGCATAAACGATGGCACTTCAGAGATTCAGGTTGATTCTTATATGTTTTTAATTAATGTTGACTTGTTGTTATATTTCAGTTCCGCCTTACATACTCGGTACATTATTCGTACTGACGTTCTTTTGTTGGGGATGTTGGGTTCATGCCTGCAGATATAGATAATCAGTTTGACAAGCCCTCATAGTAAACGAGGTTAGCATTCAGCGAAGGATCGGTAAGACTCCACCTCATTTGAAGTGCAGCCGAATCTATAAATCATTATGTCAGAGTTTTACTATAGACTTACGGGTATGCCGGTACCCTGTCCCATTTGATACCAAATACTCTTAGAGGCTTTGTAGACATAAAGGTTCATTTTGTACAGTATGTCAGAGGCCTTGACGGCCCATATGTATTCATGTTTTAAGAACGATGGTTCATTAATACAGCATTTGCCCACTTATAATTATACCTTACAAGTTGTGGTCATGTTGGCCTATGATAGTTATAAAAAAGAGTTACAGAGTGGTTCGCTCGGACCAGTACGGCACCGAGTGCCAGCCACGCATCCCCAGGTTTGGGCTGACATCCAACATGTGGAAAGTTCCATTAATATATTGGAGATTGGAGCACCTGTGTATGAACTTCCAACATATTATGCTGGACCGGTATATTATGCTGGAACTCCAGTATAATCTACTGGAGTTCCATCATAAGTATACTGGAGTTCCAGTATATTATGCTGGAACTCCAGTATAGTTCCAATATATTATACTGAAATTCCAGTATATTATGCTGGAATATTTTTCGGGTTTTAAATAGTATTTTCGCTCATATTTATCTTTACATAAAAAGTGACTAAATTACAATTATTTTTGAAACAATGGCTATTTTTGAATGACCACTTGTAAATTTGACTATTTTTAAATTTTTCCCAAGAAGAAAAGTCCTTTTACTATTTCCACATGTTTCATTGTTAACAATGAGGATCCACTAATAGATTGGTTCTGGACGACACAAATAATTAAGAAAAAACTACTCTTTATAGCTCCTCAAAATTTTAATAGCCTATGTATTTTTTCATTGACACGAAATGGCCCTTCGGCCCAAACATATTACATCTAGTAGCCCGAAATGTCTATTTTATATATTTTTTGTATAGTGACAGTTTATTTTATATATTTTTTGTATAGTGACAGTCTATTTTGTATAGTGACAGCCTATTTTTGTATATTTATTATATATTGACAGTCTATTTAGTATATATTTTGTATAGTAACAGTCTAT